TGACTATTTTAATCCCTACCCCATGAGTGCAACGGAATTAAATCATCTTTGGCTATACAGTGTTAACTAGTATTTTACTCCTTCCATCGAAAACATCCAACTATAACTACAAAATGCATGAATTCTGTTGTGCTTTGCTATCATGTCAGAGGCACATTAAACAAGTAGTGGGGAGGATTAGTTGTTTCAGTGTCTTTAGTAACTTGTCAGCCTTGTCTGCCATCTTTCTGATACTGTCTCCCTAAAGATCTGAAAGTAGTGATACAAGAAATGCAACAAAATCTATTTGCAGGACTTGCAATCAAGTGCCTTCTGAATGGAAGCAAGGAATCTGGAATTTTGCAATTATTGCCTATATAAATGAAGAAAATGAAGTGGAGAAGAAATTATGAATAAAAGCACTGTTTTAGCTGAGCTTTTTTCATAATCCCAATGTATTTATGTTTTATTTTTTTCAAATTGGACTGACCTAATGGGGTGTGGAAGAAAGGGGCATAGGAAAGAGCCAAGATATGATGAATAGATTGTCCTAAGCCAAATACTTCCCATTCTTGATGTGGTGCTGTGATGTTTTCCCTGCCTGCTTGTCATATGCAGAAGAAGGAAATCAGCAAAGCACAAGGAACCAAGTGATCACTTTGTTGCACACCTGTCTGAGCTACCTGACCTTAATGTTGGATTGGTACTTAATTGGACTTCAACTTTTGGGGATGAAAATTTATTTCTGGGAAGTAATTCACAGGAAAACAAAAATAAAGAAAAGTGGGACATCAAACAAACAAAAAAATATATTTTTGCCATGTTTTGGTCTAGCCTAGAGTCCTGGATTTCCCAGATGGTCTCCCATCTAAATGCTAATATATTTAACTTTGCTTAGATTTCTAAATCAGTAAGGAGCAACCAGGTGCTGCTGCTTCCTAAGGTAGTATATAAGAGAGAGACATAAGAAAATCAGTTATATGTTTTATTTCTGCTTATGATTTTGAATTTTTTCAAAAGTTGTTTTATACTGAGGTCCAGAACTCCACAGGACTTTCATGGCTATACAAAATTAGCAGAATCAAGAGTAGGAAGGGACCTTTGAGGTCTTCTACTCCAATCCCTGCTCAAGCAGGAAACCCTATAACATTTCAGACAAATGGTTATCCAATTTCTTCTTTAAAATCTCCAGTGTTGGGGCAACCACAACTTTTTGCAGGCAGGTTGTTCCACTGATTAATTGTTTTAACTGTTAGGAAATTTCTCCATAGTTCTAGGTTGCTTCTCTCTTTGGTTAGTTTCCACCCATTGCTTCTTGTCCTGCCTTCAGGCGCTTTGGAAAATAGCTTGACTCCCTCTTCTTTGTGGCAACCCCTGAGATATTGGAACACTGCTATCATGTCCCCCCTTGTCCGTCTCTTCATTAAACTAGACATATCCAATTCCAGCAGCCGTTATTTATATGTTTTAATTTCTAGCCCCCAATCATCTTTGTTGTCTCAACATTTTTTTTTATATTGTGGCGACCAAAACTGGATGTAATACAGGTAGTCCCTGACTTACAACTGTTCATTTAGTGACCATTCAAAGTTACAATGGTGTTGAAAAAAGGGACTTGTGACTGTTTTTCACACTTACAACCATTGCAGCATCCCCACAGTCACATGATCAAAATTCATATGCTTGGCAACTGGTTCATATTTATGACCGTTGCAGCTCCCAGGGTGTTGTGGTCTTCTTTTCCGACCTTCTGACCAGGAAAGTCAATGAGGAAACCATATTCACTTAACATGTTACTAAATTAACAACCGCAGTGGTTCACTTAACAATTGTGGCTAGAAAGGTCATAAAATGGGGCAAAACTCACTTAATAAATGTTTCCCTTAGCAACATAAATTTTGGGCTCAATTGTGGTCATACCTCAAGGACTACCTGCATTCTCAGTGTTGTCTTACCAAGACATTATAAAGTGGTACTAACACTTAAGGCTTCTTGATTCTATCCCTCTGTTAACAGAGCCTAGGATTGCATTGGCTTTTTTGGCAGCACATTTTCTTAAAGTACAAATTCTGTGTACTTTAGTTCTACTACATTCTGAAGCAGGAACATGCACTAGTAAAGTTGACTGTGCATTAGTTACTAAAAGGGTATGCTTCACTTCGGCATCTAATGAAACAAACAAAAGAGTAGAATCAGATTAGAAAGAAGTATAGTATGGTGCTAATAGTAGTTACCTCTATGCTGTTCTGTTAATCTATGTTATATTCGGTTTGTAAGTTCTTGATGATTGCAGGAGAAATGTAATCATTTGCATTGTTCAAACTAACATCAAATGCTGGTGATAAAGAAATTAGACTTTAAAAATCTAGTAAATCTAATTATGGACATATTTGGGAGTAAGGAATGAGCTAACAGCGTGCTCATAAAATTGTATAGTCCTAGAATCTGGCACACATGCTAAAGTTCTACAAAATTTTCCCTTTAAAAAGTTTAAAAAGTTAAATTAATCCTATTAAGGATTATTGTTTATTTTTTCCATGAATGAGTATGATCCCTATTTAACAGAGCTAATTTGGGAGAGAACTGTTACAGAATGACATAAAATCAGAGACAGTTTCAGTGATCAAATATTTGGGGAAACATGTAGCTAGTTGAGATGTTTCTTATAAGGCTGAACCACTTTTATGTGGTTTAATGAGTACCTAATAAATGTATAAAGAGATCCCGTAATCTGAGCACTAGGATGCAGTCAGTTTGAGTAGGAAAATAAGGCAGGAGAAGCAACAGCCAATGCTTATGTTGTATGCTGTAGATCACAAAAATAGATAGAAGATCTGGACTGATTATAGAACTTTTTGAGAAAAGAGACAGTAACAATGGAAGAGTTCATTCAGACATCTCTTGAAAAAAACAATTCAGCCGAGACAAAATTACTAGACAGAATTTCATAAACAGAAATCTTTGGATCCATAACAGTACAGAAGGGTTGCATACTTCCCAAAAATAAGACATGGACAATATAACTGCATAACACTTTAAGAAGGAAAAGAGGGGAGAGATTTAGAAAATAAGAGTTCCTAATTTAGGAAAATTGAGTGTTTTTCATTTGGGTGAGAAAAACATCAAAATTCAAAGCACGCAGCAGTATTGGATAGCTGCAAATACAAAAAGGATCTGGATGTCTTGGTAAATCGTAAATTGAACATGATTCAAAAGTATGATCTAGTTGCAAAAATCTCAAACACTATTCTAAGCTGCAAAGTATAACATCAAGATGAAGAAAAATAATTACTTTCTACTCTGTATTGATCAGATGAGGTCTAGAATATTATATTCAGTTTTAGTAATTGGATATATAGGACATTGACCAAGTGGAATGTTAGAAGAGAGCAATCCAGGAGATAAGGAGCTGGAAAGACTTATGAGGAATAGCTGAAAGCATTGTTATTTATTTTTATCCTGAAAAAGATGACTTGAAGGGCTATCAACTAAAAGACAGGATACTCTTCTTCAGTGTTGTTCCAGATGACAAGAAGGCCAAACAGTGGGTTTAAATTACAAAGAAATAGATTTTGATTAGACATCATGCAAAATTTCCTAGTTGTAACAGCCATTCACCAGTGGAGCCACCTGCCTTGGGAACAGATTCTGTTTACTGGAAGCATTTAAACAAAGATTAGGTTCAGAGGCATCCATGGGAGGGATGCAAAGGATGGAATAATTCTTGTGTCATTGTAACACAAGCTGCACCCATTTTGACGTGTGTTATGATGTTGCATACGCATGCTTAAGGGATGGAACTTGCATCACAACACTCAATTTTTCATCCTGATGAGACCATAAGATAATGCATATGTTTCTGGTTGGGTTGCTATCTGACATGAATTCTGTAGTCATGAATTGCTACACTTAAGAGGTTTAGACTAGATGATTTTCAAGACTATTTTAAGCTTCTAGAAGCCTGAACAAACATACAAATGGAAATGTAGATGCTCTGTTTTAGGGATAAGGCTCTTTAAAAAAAACATGATACAACCCTTTCTATTCTCAAAATCAAGGACACTCATTCGTGAAACTATTATTTAATGGGGACCAGTCACAATGTTCTGTTCCATTATTGCATTCTGGAGTAAGAGATTACATATTTAATAAAAATTTGTGTAAACCTTTGACACCCAGATCATAAATTCTTGCTATCTTGACATGGATTTTTGCCATTATAAATAATTGGGGCAAGCTTAAAAAAAAAGATATCCGAAACTTTGCAGTTGTCCTTTTCCCCTGCAAACATTGTCTCCATGTTTGCTGGGAAGATGGTGATGGAGAAGCAGGTTTAAAGGTAGAAAGTAGGTCTGATTTGCTTCTGATTTGCTCCTGCGTCCTCCACTTTCCTGCTCAAAAAGCCTCTTCTGCCCTACCTGTTAAGTCTGGAGAATAATGGCGCTTGAGACGATGCATTTCTAACAAGTCTTTATTCTCTGCTTCCAATCTACGAACAACGACAAGCCCAGAGGCACGCAAGCCTCTATATATACCCTCCGATCCCCGGGCAATTCCAACCAATAACAAGGCAGTCTCTTCCCGCCTTGCGCATGCGCGCAAGGCCGGCGCCGCTCAGTCTGGTCCCGGGCAGCTTTTGCAAATGCCCGGGACTCTTGCAACTTCCCGCGCCTGCTTCTGCAGGCACGGGACACAACACTACCCTTTTTTCAAGTAGACTCACTTCTAATATCGTAATCTAGACGAGAAAAAAATACTTCCTAAAAAAAAATCAAGCTTTCACTTTTCAGGTGTTTGGATTTGAGTCTAAGTGATGTATTCAGATTTTTTTATTTAAGCCAAGGAGTTTTTTTGCTTCTAGAAACAGTGCCATCATTCCAGAAACCCAGCTCTTAAGACATGTCATTCCTATATTAGAATTTTTGTAGAACTGCATATATCCATGTTTAAAAGATGCTGGAAAAATGTTAAATGTATGTATACTTTAAAATAATTTTAATTGGATTTTGATCTTCTTTCAGAGACCTGTGCTGTTAACAATGGAGGCTGTGATAGCAAATGCCATGATGCAGCCCTAGGAGTTCACTGCAGCTGTCCCATGGGATTCATGCTTCAGCCTGACAGAAAAACTTGCAAAGGTAAGATGCAACCAAAATCTTTATCTAGTAAATGGAAATGGTTCTCTGATGCAGAGAAAAGGATACACCCATGTCCTTCAACTGGGATTAATTTTGCATTAAGAAGAAACTGAGGTTTGTAAGAGCCATGGTGGTGCAGTGGTTAGAATGTAGTATTGCAGGCCAACTCTGCCCACAGTCAAGAGTTCAATCCTGACTGGCTCAAGGTTGACTCAGCTTTCTATCCTTCCGGGGGTCGGTAAAATGAGAATCCAGATTGTTGGGGGCAATATGTTGACATTATAAACCACTTAGAGAGAGCTGTAAAACACTGTGGAGTGGTATATAAGTCTGAGTGCAATTGCTATTGTTTTTAAAGAACAATCTGAAAAAATTGCTGAGAAATAAATGAGACTTCACAAATGGATGGAGTCTGTGTTCTGTCTCTGGCAGCTCCAGGGAATGTGACCTTAGTTAAAAGTAAAAAACAAAACAAAACAAAAAAAACCACCAGCTCCTCTGCTGAAAGCTGTCTAACCAGCTTACTGATTCCAGACCCCATTTGTTTCATTATTATTTTTCAGAGCTCATTAACTCTAAGATGCTGGAGTTGCAGGAAAACATAATACCCCAGAACTATATTCTCTGTGTCTGGGACTTTATTACTGTTCAGAGCTATTTTATTTCTAATACATTTCAGTGACAGTAACAATAACGGTGACAATTCATTGTGCTTGCTGAGGTTTGTTGGATTGGGGCAAGACAAGGGAGCAATTTTAGATGACGTCTTGTTTTCTGGGATTCATCAGTTTTAACAGACCATTTCCTAGCAGTAAATTTTCTGGCATGTGCTAGAAGTAAAAATATTTCTTTATAGATAGTAGGAACTTTATAAGAGTTTAGGGAATTAAGCGAGGCAGAGAATATGTTCTTTCTACCTTTTTTGGCAAAAGAATTCTAAAACTACAGCTAAATTTAGAATATAATCATTTGGCTCTTATTTGAAATTAATTGTTGGAGAGAAAATGCATTGATTCTTTGTCGTCTTCGCTGCTATCTTGTGCTATCCATTTGAAAAGCATATAGAGGACAATAAATGAGGGGTGTTACTGTCTGTAATTTTTTCCTTTGTAAATTATTACAGCCTATTCAGCAGACACTTTCAATTGCTTATGAAAACTACCTTTGAAATCAATCTTTTTCTGGCTTTTAAAAGTGGTGATGTCTTATGTTGCTGCTGCTTTAAATTATTTTAATTTTTAAAAGATGTATTGTTTCATTAATCTTTTTGTGATCTTATGTTCACTTAACTGTTATAAATGAGCTTTGTCTCAGAAAAATGTGATGAAAATTGCAATAAATAATTTGGTGTAGTCACATTTGTATAGTCTACAAAACTATATATTTACATTTTATTATGATTAAAGCTTTTTTACCAACATTGACTCTATGAAATATGTTGGGTTGAGAGAGACTGAGAGTCACTCAGGGAGTTTCAAGAGTTCATAGAGATTTGAACCTGGGTCCTTCCAATTCCAGGACTACCATACTCCTATACTACAGTCTCCTCTTTTTTTCTCTCTCCTCTGCATTTCCTTACATGGGGATCTTACAACAAAATTATGAATTCTTCCTAAACGCAACTGGACAGTATTCTTAGAAATCCCCCAAATACTAATGAAGTTTCAGAAAAGCTGCATTTTGGATTTAATCTATATTAAAAGAATCTGTCCAAGTCAATTTAACTTGGTTTGGAAGTTAACCAAATCCAGTACTTATCTTTATCTGAACTATCATAAAAATTCCAAGCAGTACTGGATAATTGGGTAACAAGCACTGAATCTGTAAATACCCTACAGCACAAGGAATTATAGATAGATCTCAATTTACAACCATTCAGTCAGCAAGTGTTCAAAATTATGACGATGCTAAAAGAAGGGATTTATCATTGGTCCCCAAAGTTACAGCTGTTGGCGCACCCCTGCAGTCATGTGATCAAAATTTGGCCACTTGGCAGCTCATCCTCATTTACAACCACAGGGATGCTTCAACTCTCCCCCACTTGCTCCCTCCCTCCCATCTATATTCTTTTGGCCCCTGCATTCCACAGTCCCTGTCCCCCTAGCTGACATTTGTCACCACCTTGTTCCTGCTCCTGGCCAAGCATGCTCAATCTGGCTCTTCGCAAAGCAGCTGCTGGCCACATGGCAGTTTCCTCATAAGTCCTGGGGAAGATAGGCTCATGTGGTCAGCAAATGCCTCACAAAGGGCTTATGTCTCATCAGCAGTGGCAACAAGAGGAAGGTGAAAGTCAATTGGGGTGGTGGAGCTGGGGCAGGGAGCTCAGGGCAGCAAAGATCTCGGAGCATTGAGCGCCAGGGATCTTGGGCATGCAGGGGGTGGCAGAGATCTTGGAGTGCAGAATGGCAAAGGTGACTTTGGCTAGAACTGGGCTGGGGTGGCTTCGGCTTTATGCCACTCTGCTGGGCCAGACTGGGGCTGCACTTTGTGATACTCTGCATTGCAGTTCAGGGGCTTCTTGCAGCTCCAGAGTCCTGGTGTCCCAAGAAACTCTTTTGCGCTGCATGCTGGGCCAGATTGGGGCTGCGATTTTGAGCTTCACGGAGGCTCGGGCTTCTTGCAGCCCCAGAGCACAGCACACCTGGAAACTCTTGAGCGGCAGCATGTCAGTCAGCCCTTGAGCCATGAATTTCTGGGATTGTTTGCTGCCCCGCAAGGCAAGGTAGAGGGTTGCCAAAAGGCCAGAGTTGTGGGGGGAGCTAGGTGGGTGGGTGGAGTTGAAAAGGAGGTAGTCCCCTACCTTTCCAAGACTTGGGACTGGGAGGCACCAAATCTGGAAATGACTTGGATCAGGGTGGGTACTTGTATAACAACTTGTTATTCTTGGTTAATGACAGCAGCAAGGAGTGCTAGGATTGCTGGCACTAAGTGATGCAGCCACATGGCATCATGCTTTATGACCGCATCACTTAACAACAGAAATTTTGGACCCAATGATGGTCATAGGCCAAGAACTATCTGTATGAATACACATCAAAATGAGCATCTAAATTGAATCTGAACAGAGAAATCCAAGTCATTTGTCCTGTTCCTCTTTTGTTGACTCCTCCTTTGATGGCACTTATATGACATTTTTTGTACCTTTTTTTGTACCTAAGCATGTTTTGTTGTGTTGTTTTCCCTCCTTATTACAGATATAGATGAATGTAGGTTGAACAATGGTGGCTGTGACCACATCTGCAGGAACACAGTGGGCAGTTTTGAATGCAGTTGTAAAAAGGGATATAAATTGCTTATCAATGAAAGGACATGCCAAGGTAAAGTCTTCTCATATCTTACTGGAAATAATAATGAAGCAGTTATTTAAATATGAATATTTAGGCATGGAGCTTAATCACATACGAAACACTCTAATTCAATTTCTTTTTTGATAGTCAGCATAAGAAACAACCATCTATGAGGTCTGGATTTCAATGATTCATAGCTTTAAGTTTGCTATTTGATGTAATATGAATATAAGAATATTAGATTGGCCCTACTCTGGATCAGATTGATGCTTATCTTAGTCCCACATTTTGTTTCTTACAATAGCCAAACTGATTCCTTCTAGTGCAGGGGTGTCAAACTGGCGGCCTATGGGCCGGATGCGTCACACACAGGCCACGCCCACCCCAGCTCTGCAAAAGCAAAAAATGTTGCAATACGTCATGATAGATCACGTGACGCAATTGAGTTTGACTCCCGTGCTCTAGTAGTGTGTTCACAAGCGTGAGATTTTTGCTGTTTCATTACAATTTATTATTTAGTGGTAGAGTGCTCTCAACCTGGATGTATCATTGAATCTTGGTAGACTTGTTATAATAATGATCTTGTCCAAATATTTATTCATTCTTGTTCTAAAGCCATCCAAGATAGTGAATCTCCTAATTTCATAGGGAAATTATGTTCTGTGTAAAAAAGTGCTCTTTTAAGTCTGTTCTAAATTGACTTCTAATTGGCTTCATTGGGTGACCCCTGAAGCCAGTATTTTGAAAATGCTATCCATCTTCTCCATGCCATATATAATTTTATGGACCTTGATCATGTCCTCCTTCAATCATTATTTTTCCAGTCTGAAGAATCTTAAATATTTTTGCCTTTTCTCATAAGGAAAATATTTGACCCTCCTGGTCCTTTCGGTTGAATAATGGTTAACAACCTTGGCAGTTTTATTTTCATTCTCATTCTTAATGAATGTCCCATGGAATTTGTCTTTTTCACAGTTGACACACACGCTGAGTCAGTATCGCCATTACTCATGTAACCCCAAGACTTTTCCAGGTTAGTTACAGACAGCACAGACTTCATTAGTGCATGTGTAAAGTTAGGATTTTTTGCTGCAGCATACATCATTCTGGAATGATTATTCGTCTAACTTAGAGATCCCCAAGAGCCTTTCATAGCCACTTTTTTACCATCCTGAATACTGGAAGTTTGGAAGTTTATTTTATATCCTTAGGTCAAGATCATTTATAAATAAAAAATGCAGATCTCAGTACAGTCTTACAAGGCTTCCATGTCCCTCCATTGAGAAAATTATCCATTTATTCCAACATAAGCATTTTCATTCCTTTGTCTAATGTTTATTTTTCTTTTGTTTTCTGGTTAAAATATAAAGAACTTCTTAATGTTTTCCCCTTAATAACAATAACAACCACCCTCACCCTTTGTCTTTAAGGCATTAAGGGGAGATTTGACTTTGCTAATTTTTCTTTTCAGTCTGCAGCCATATAACTGTTGGGTCTTGTTCTTCTCCCGTCCCAGAGCAGCAGGAAATGGTGCTGCCCTATATTTTGCTGCCTCCACAATGCACTTTTATCATGATTAGGTCCATGCTGCACTGCTATCCTCAGAGCTTTCAAATATAACATTCTAAAGGCCATGAGGATGGTTTCCTCAGTTGAAATTCCAGCCCTTTCATTGTCATCTACATGTGAAAAGCCACTTATACTTGCCAGGCACAATGCAGTACTTTGTTCTGCAATTTTTAATCAATTGTTGATTGACTGATTTTTTTTAAAAAAAATTCTTTATACCTTAAAATTATGACCTCTAAATTCTGTCAAAATGTTAGAGCATTTTGTAATCTCTTGGCTTCAATAGAGTGGTTGACCAGGTTTATACAGCTGCTGGATAAGAGCTAGATTTTCAGAAAGAGGTTTAACTATGGGATTCATTGTGGAAGTTGTAAATTCCCTAAGGGCATTGTATGAGAAGAGAGATGAGGAGCCAAGGCTTTGGGGATCAGCAGCCAATGAGAGGTGAATTCCTGGGCAGATATACAGCAATGTGTCCTTTGAATGATCCTTCTAGTGATGTTCCTTAAACCAGGCAGAAGCTATTCAGTTTCAAGGCTTTATATTCTTAATGTTGCTCATCAACATGGCCCTGCATTGCCTATATGTAGTAACAGGATAAGAAGGAAAACACAGTTTCCAGAACAGAGGGCCAAAAGTCAGGACTCCCTCAGGTACAGATGGATGATGAGATATGCAGGCCTATACTTTGGATCTGGATAGTGAGCTGTGTGAATTTGTCCTGTCTTTTTTTTCACCAACTATTTCACCAGTTCAGAAGTTTCAGTTAAATATGACTGTGTTGGACCCTCTTGGCAGTTTCTCTTTTGTACATATGCTAGGTCAACAGCATTGTGGTTATTACATGCATTTGGTTTATAACATATTTTGTGTCTATCACAGTTACCCCTTAGGATTAAATTTAGGATTGCACCTCTCTGGCCAGTTGCAAAAGCAACCGTTCTAAGGCATAGATATTTAGGGCATCTTGAAATTGGCTGTATTTGTTATGGCCTGACCATAAGGGGTGATTGAAATCCTCAAATATTAAAACTTCTCCATTACATGAATCCATGATTTCTTTCACCACCTCAGGACATCTAGAATTGTAATAAGACGGCCAGCAATATAACCTAGGGCTAATAGAGATTTTAACCAGAAATGGCAATCAGTAATGATTTTGGAACTTAATTTGTACCTTATTTTGGGGCTGAGGGGGGGGGGGTTAAAGAAAAAATATGCTACCAAAGTAAACTTGTTAATTGCTATTAGAATGACATTTACTCCTAATGTTCTCCTAATCCTGGGCAATTTGGTAAAGTTTCGCACTTTCTGGTTAGTAAAAAAGCAAAATAATTCCAATCCCCAGGCATACTAAGTACATATTTATTTATTTATTATTCATTCATTTTTATCCTGCCTTTATTATTTTTATATATAATTCAAGGTGGTGAACATACCTAATACTCCTTCTACCTATTTTCTCCACAACAAACCTGTGAATTGGGTTGGGCTGAGAAAGAGGACTGGCCCAAAGTCACCCAGCCAGCTTTCGTGCCCAAGAATTCACAATCTCTTCGTTTCTAGCCTGGTGTCTTAACCACTAGATCAAACTGTCTCTCATTTATTGCAATGTAGCTTATGTCTCTTTTTCCTGTTTCCAGATATTGATGAATGCTCCTTTGATAGAACTTGTGACCACATCTGTGTAAATACACCAGGGAGTTTCCAGTGCCTGTGTCACAAAGGCTACATGCTGTATGGAGTCACCCACTGTGGAGGTATCAGTGTGATAGTTGGCGATGTAGGGAACATTATCCCAGTCACTTTTTTGGTACCTCTTTTGTGAATCTTCATCCTGCTGCCTCTCCCAATGAGTAACATCTTCTTTCTTCTTTTAGGCAGAGCACTTAGTTCAGTTTGTTTGGCTTAGGTAACCCTGGAATATGATTGTACACAATATATTTGTAGAACCATGTTACTCACAAATTTATCTATTAAAATCTTTGTGCTGCATAATTAGTATTTATAAATATAATGTTTATCATCAGAACACTTTGCTTTTAGCCAAAATTGTAAATTGGATAAATGGATTATGACATTTCAATAACAGATTCAGTAACATTTATTATGCAAATAGTGTTAGATGGCAGTGGTTGATCAGGGTATTAGACAGGACCACAAGAAATTAGAATGAGACTATGTGTTCAAATGAGGCATTTGCTGTGCATATGGAATAATATTCTATATTCTATATTCAGTGATATAGGACTTCCAACAGTCTTATTGGTATAAGATAAAGAGAGAGACAGAGCACAGAAACTCTTGTTGACCTAGAGCAGTGGTTCTCAACCTGTGGGTCGGGACCCCTTTGGGGGTCGAACAACCCTTTCACAGGGTCGCCTAAGACCATCGGAAAACACATATTTCCGATGGTCTTAGGAACCGAGACACCGCTCCTCTATCTCCTTGCCCTCCTCTTCTCTCTCTCTCTCTCTCTCTCTCTCTCTCTCTCTCTCTCTCTCTCTCTCCCCCCCCCCGCCTGGGCGCTTCTCTAACCAGGCTGGGCGGAGATGGCGGAACGGCCTTCCCCCCTCCCTGGCCAGCTGGATGGGGGGTTGGGGGTCACCACAACATGAGGAACTGTATTAAAGGGTCACTGCATTAGGAAGGTTGAGAACCACTGACCTAGAGTTTTCTCAACAGCTTCATATAAATGTTAGAAAACATAGAGGTCAAATAGAATCTCAAAGTATGGCATAAGTCAGCGTTCAAGAAACCAAACAGCAGTCCCCAGCACCATTTTTGGGAGCATTTAACCAAGTCCCTTACTGACTAAACATCTCAATATACTGTGATAAATAGCCTGAAAACTGCTGAGAAATCAGTACAACTAAACCATGATTAATGCCTGCTATTTACTTACCAGAATAATTCGTCTACTAGCATGATGAATGAATTCCTTACTACAGCCAAAGATCATAAAATAGTCTACAAGTTCTGAAATATTCAGACAATAATACATACATGATAAAACAAACAATAACATAAAGTCAGTAAGAGATTATGTTCAACAGCTGGACAGATGGATTCCGGTTTTGTTAGGATCCCCTTGTTATCTCTTGCCACAGTCAGTGTACTGATGGAAAAAAATTCTACATTTAACTCATTGTAGGCCTTCAATCTACAAATAAAGAGCAAAAAAGGTTGAGAAGAAATTTGTCTTAGAAAAATTACTGAAAGGGTGATAGAGAATAAGTCTACTGTATAAATCCCTATAAAATTCACAGCGTCACAGAACATGCCAACTGTTCCACTTTTCCTTGAGGCACATGGTTAGATACACCTTTTTATAGGGAAAGCTAATACTGTATATCTACCTTCCAGCATGGAAGGATGTTAAATCAAAGCTGTAGGAAGATTGTATGATGGTTAAACAGTTCCAAAGGAGGGTTACAGTAAGTGCTGACTAGCTTGAACTTATTTTGTGATTCATTGTGTAGGATTTGGATCCCAAGTTAATCATAACCCATAGAAAGCAGAACCTTTGGAAAGAGGGAGAGAGGCAATTTATTGAATGTGTTCTTCTAGCAGACAAAATTTATTAAATATTATTAGAAGAGCTAGGCACGTCAGACAAAAGTTAAACTTCAATCAGAGAATAAAGATAGTTACCCAAACCTTATCACTTTAAGTAAATCAATTTGTTGCCACAAGAAGGCATGGGTTTCTGAAGCACTGCTCTTGAGATTTTGATTGTTTCTACAAGAAATAATTGGGATATGGCACTAATCCAGACATGTAAACTTGTGATGTCACGTGACATTGCGCAACGTATCGGAGCTTTTTCTCCATTGCCAGCAATGGGGTGGGCGTGGTTTCCTGGTGACGCGTCCGCCCTGTGGGCCGGCAGTTTGACACCCCTGCTCTAATCAAATCCCATATTAGAACTTGGCCTCCAGTAATTTGATGGCACAAAGCATAAAACTGCCTCCTTGAGTCAAAAGAACCTTAAAATACATGCCACTTTTTTTTTTGTACTATCTACAATACACATACTCAGTTTGGGCCTTCTTGCCTAAGGAATGGAATACTAGCCTTATATATTTAAATAATTTAACTTGCTTGGTGATTTTAGCACAGATGTTCTAATTGTTCATCTTGGAGCTTTTGGCAAATGCTACACCATTTGTCTTGTCTTCTGATAATTAATTAAAAGATAATTGTCAGTATTATAGTGATAAAAAATCTTCAATGCTCTCCTGAGATTGATTTGTGATTGTGATAAAAATCACTTCCTTATATCATAAAGTAGTATAAGCAAAAGTTGTCTGGCTTTTATAGGATAAGGAAGGCTCAAATCATGTCAGAACTTGATTAAAATGCTCTTTATGTCCAAGCTCAGATTTAAAGCCAGGCCAGAAAAGATGTCTGCTCCATATTGTTAGTTTCATTCCATGTAAGTCACTGTTGCATAGAGTGAAGTATGGTGTATCTATATAGGAACCTACTTCAGCCTCAATTAAATGTTTCAGCAAACCATTTGCATTGATCTGTGGGCTCTGTTTTGTAGCTCTGATTACTTTTCAAGGAGTTCTAACCAGAATCTCTCTTGATCTTTCAGATATTGCCTTCACCTCAAAAGTTCCATGTTAATTCCACTTTAAAAACAAAATTTCTCATAGTTGAAATTGCTAGCTAGAAGCAATTTCTATAGCTTTGCTTGCTTGCTTTGTAAGAATTATTTTCATTATACTGAGATATGTTTGGAGGAGCCCATGGTTTGTACCTGCCAAATTAACTGTGTTTTTTTTAAAAATTGAATCTATAAATCACTGCACCTTAAATTAGCATTCAAATTTGCAGAAAGTTCTCATGATTCATTTTGTAGCATGTTGCGGTTTACATTGGCTTCCATTCACTTAGAGCTTCATTGAAATTTACTGTGTGTTCGTGAAGCCTAAACTTTGTACACAACTGAGTATTTTGAGGTTGTAAAATTATGTATGCACCAAAACTCAAGTATATAAGTCAATAACATGTAAAACCCTATTTATTTTGCCAAGGCCATTCTCATTTTGTGTAATTTATTCTTTATCAGTTATTTGCAGAATTGGGAGGGACAACGGTAATGGTAATGCATGTCTTGCTTCAGAGCTTACTAAGACGTTTTTAGATTATAACAATTAACTAAATATTTTTTTGGCCTACTTTGAGGCATTTTTAAAGAAGCATGTTTCTCCTTTCCTGCTGTTAATCGTCATCTACTACTCAAGTTAAAACTTTCCTCTCTGATTCTAAATTCAGAAGAAAGCATTTAGAAATTATTGGCTATTTTTCTTGTAGCTGAAATTCTGTGGAGCTATGATTTATTTATACAGTGTAAACCATAACTGGCTGCATTCATACTGCATATATATTGCTAAGCCAGATATTAAGCCAAAATATTATAGCATATTGGTTGGATCTAGTTAGTATCTATTAAACCTTCACAACCTTCAGCAAGCTTGTGAAATGTTAAATATCCTCTTTACTAATTAGCAAGGAGAAGATGGTATTCTGAATTTAGGACTCATTTGGAGTAAGAGAAGTGAGTTACATAAAACAGTAAGATGGAATGGAGCCAAGCTGAAAAATGCCTTGACAATGACATATGAGTCAGCATTTACCCTATTCCAAAGAGCTGGGAGCAAAGCCATGACCTGAATATGCCATGTTTTGTGGGAATGTGCTCTGGCAAAGCTTGGAAAGAAAACTGAAATATTTGTATGTGAAGCTTTCAGAACAAAATGGTCCTTTATGCCTTTTTTCTCCCCTTTCTTCTGCTGTCATTGTGTTGGTGTGTATTTTTCCATGTCAGACCTTTAGCACTGATTTCCATGGTTGTGAAATTATGTGCCGTAAAGTAGCAGGAATGCTGAAAAAAAAGGATAGCATTAACAGGCTGGCTAATTGCAGTTGTCTTTTTGAACTTCAGATCCCATGCCATTCTATTTTCTCTATTTTTCTCTATTGTTCTTCATTACATTTGATCTCAGGAGTGACATTTAAAGTGGCTAACTCATCACTGGTTGCCAATTCTTTTTCTTGGCAAAACCAGGGATGGCACAGGTCAAAGTAATTATCTACAACATGGTTTCTAAACCTTGACTACTTTAAGATGTGTGGACTTCAACTCCCATAATTCCCCAACCAGCATGTGGTTGAAGTTCATATATTTGCCCAGGCTGAAATCTACATTTTTTAAAATGCTAATCACAACATTGATTAATAAGAAAATGTCTGAGTTGTCAGTTAGTTGATACTTCTCAAAAGGAACCCTGAATTGCCTTTCAAATATGCTTGTCTCTTCCTCAGGTTTAGGGTGCTAAGCTGCTAAAAAAAGATAGGACTTCTGAACCAGTAATTGTGGTATAGAAAAGGGGATGTAAAATATAAAGAAAAGGGAGTGTATTGTACAATATGCTTGAATCAGGAGGATTGTACGGAAAATATGGTTACTGTAGGCTAAAAGGGTAATAGGAATAGTAGGAATAGGAATAAATTGTAGACTCGCCCGATGTTGAGGAGTTTATCAGATGTTACTTCAGATGTTTCTGTGTGGACAAAATTGCATGAGGAGGTGCAGAAATATCCAACAGTGAGTTCATTTCCCTAAAGCCCCTGGATTAACTTGTACAACCTCTGAAAATATTACATTCTGATATTTTGATGACAAGATATGTTGTCCAGTATTTCTGGGGGTCTTACAGTTGGGAAGGGTACCCTGGATGAAGATCTCCTTTTCTTTCATCTGCTTTCTTCTATTTATTTCCATACGAACGGAAGACAATAGACTTCTGAACAAAGTTTTCCACAAAGCTCTAGTTTGGCCTGCCAAATTAAAACATGCTTTAAAAATGTTTCTCTGCCAGTTTAATCCTCTGGTTTTGTGTTGCAAGGCAAAAAGTAGAAAGGATTAGGTAATATTAGGGTGACCACATACATCATATTTTAGAGCAATGGGACCAATTTAAAACCACTTTCATTCCATTTAATCCAAACATATGTCTGAGAGATGAGAGAGATTCCTGTTACCTGCCCAAAGGACTACTGTGGATTGTCTTGAATGATAGATTCTTGAAATGATTTCAAGATGCTTCAAGACAATCCTCATTTCCCCATATTTTGTTGCCTCCAGAATAATTTTGTGATTAAGATGAAGGATGATTTTCAGCCTATACTTGATTCTCTAGTCATTTAAAGGCTAAGAAAAAGTGAGAAGGGTTTTTTAATATTATTTTATATAATGTTTTCACTTTCAGATTTCAAGGAGGAGAAGAAGAATGATAAAAGAGAAGCATGGAAATATGGGCAATATTTAATTGTTAAACATAATCTGTCCATTAGCCTTCCCTAACCTAATGTCCTCCAGTTGTATTATAGGGCATGATTCTGGAGGTCATTAGAATGGAGAGGGAAAAACTGCTGCATAAAACACAGAATACAAACATGTATAACCCCATAGGAAGGCAGAGGAAGTGTTGTACAATACATTCATATGTTTGGTACAGAGCCAAATGTGCCCAGATCAGTACTAAATGCAACAACCATACAGTATAATAAATCCCTATAACTATAGATCACTGTAGTATGCCTGTAAGCTCATCAGAACCACATACTATGGCAGATAGCCAAAGGATTGTCCTACTTCCTTGTAACAATTTGTGGTAGTAAAACTTATAGCTGTAGTTTTCCCCATTTCTCTTCTTAGCTTCCTGTCCTCTGTTTTCAATTCCTTATCAGTCTTGTGGGTATCCTGGAATAGGGTCTTATTTTGCTTTCTGTTTTTATAAAGTGTCCTGTACACCAATGGTCCAATATGTGTAATCAATTAAGTAAGCAGCCAGATCTCTTTTGAATGACAAATGGAACCAACAACAGATAGTTTCTTTATTGTAGTTGGTGTTGTTTCACCCCATTTTTCTTTCTCTCAATCTCATTAATTTCTTTGTTCCACTTATTAGCCTCAGTTATAGTTCCTGGATTAGACCTAGAAGTCATAATGATTACTCCAGTCAGAAAGGTTTTTTTTATGAATTTCAAATAGTTTACTAATCATACTTCTTGGTCTTCCTACAGATGTTGATGAATGTAGTGTCAATCAAGGAGGTTGCAAGTTTGGATGTGTAAACACCCCAGGTAGCTACGAATGTACCTGCCCTGCAGGTTGCAAACTTCATTGGAATAGAAAAGATTGCATAGGTGAGTACTATATAGAAATGGCTTGAAATCATACTGCCCGATAGTGGGAAAATGCATTTGAACAAGATAGGTTTTTAACTGGGGTGAAAATTACCCTAGCCTAAGAGGAAGATTGTTGTAAACATTGGTGATCTCTGAACGCCTTATTCATTGCTACTTAGAACCTTTAAACTAGTATTGAACACTTGAAACAGTATGGATTGATGCCAGTAAAAATAGCTTCTTTATTTATTTGCCAATTTAGATACCACCCATCAGGAATTTTTGTTTGCTCAAAAGTCCTATTTGGTTTTTTTATGCTTTGGACCTTTTTAGTCTTTTTTTTTTTCCAAGCTTATTGCAACAAAACTTTAAATGAAAGATAAAAATGAAAGATAAACAACCACCTTTGTGTTGGGAAATTCTAATTTCTAAAGTTTCTACAATTTGTGGTTCAGGCCCAGCAATGCATTCCTCTAGAGTAGGGGTAGGCAACCTTGGCTCTTTTATGACTCGTGGGCTTCAACTCCCAGAATTCCTGAGTCAACATAGCTGACTCAGGAATTCTTGGAGTTGAAGCCCACGAGTCATAAAAGAGCCAAGGTTGCCTACCCTTGCTCTAGAGGTTACTATATCAGCCATGAGCTGAGTGAGCCAGAGCTCAACATGAACAGGACTTGTTGCCATAACCCATGGCAGAGGCAAGTGGAGATAGCAATAGTGCACTGATGCTTATTTGTTTCTGCTGGAGATTCAGGTGTGGCTCTGCACTGTAGCCATCCCAGTGGCAGAGTCTGGCTACTCCTCTGTGAATTGCACTCTCATCTGCATAGTGCTATCAATTGATGCTTGTTCTTCAGAGCTGGAGATTTGTTTGGCTGGCACAGTATCTCCACGAGCCATACTTACCTGCAACAAGAATGGCAAGAAGGAAAGCTGCTCCCTCACCTGTGCCTCCAAGGCTCGCTTTCTGCCAGGTAAGTACTCAGATTCACACCCCACACATAAATCACTGTCATGTGACAGCTTTGCTGCAAGATGTTTTTAGAGCACCGTTTTTGCACAATTAGGACTCCTTTGTCATACATGTACCACCTTTTAGTTAATCGTTGACACATATACACCCATGTCTTCTTTGTTTTCATTTTTTACTGCAGTTAAAACAGTCTGTCCCATACCTTAGTTTTGTGGGCTTAATAGCTTTTGCAATAGTTTTTTGAGGTTTTCAACTGATGTTTGGTTTATAGCAGATACAAGAAGCTGGTCTTGTATTCAGTGTGTTAGCATTGAATGTAATCTATAGGTAGTGCCAGTGTCAGTATTTGTCATCCTTCAACAGTTGACAAAGTATAAAATGGCAACATGATTCATTGCTACCACTGGCAATGAAAATGGCTGAGACTGGGAGATGTCCACCATTTTCAGATTCCCACAGTGTACGCAACAGTGCTGTGCTTATGCAGTGTTCACCTGGCACTTAGGATGAGCTGACTGCCAGTTTTCTATGCCCTGGATAAGAGAAGATCATAAAGCCTATCAGTCTGTTTCCCAAAGAAAACCAAGGGATATTTTCAATGTCCTATCACTATTTTCAATCTGCAAGTATTAACTGACAGTGCAGTCCCTGAAAGTGTTGTGCAGAAAAACATGAAAACTGCTTTCTGTATATTTAGCTCAGATCCATCCTTCTTTTGGTTGGTAGGCATTGTGATCTGACTCATGAATACCCCTGACCCTAAGGCTATAAGCCCTGGGAACCTGTTCAGGTTTAACCCCACTCTGGCACAAGCTATACTTCTTTTATGTATTTTTATTACCCCAGGCTCTTTGGAGTATTGTTTAATAATGAAAATAATATAGTTATGAATCCTGGGTCAAACTGGGCTACAATCATCAGTGGGCAAGATCAAGCTTGCGATGATATTTCAAAACATATGGGGTTTGGGCTTGGCTGGGCAGAGCTTGCCAGTATAGATCAATGCGACAAGTGTTTAGAAGTTTCTGGCCCTAGACCTCCATGCCTCTAAAGAGTCTTTTTCTTTGCAGAATCTGACAACAGCTACACTGTGAGCTGTGGGACCCCAATTCTGCAACAGGTGTCTCCACCAAGATCCAGCAATGGTAGCCATCCCTGCATTGGTAAGCTTGGAGTCTTGAGCTCTCAGAGCTCCTCTCTAATACATTTGACTCCACGAACTTAGCATCTGCCTTTTCTTTTAGAGGCTGTTGCTGCTCCAATCAAACAAAAGGCTTCTTTTAAAATTAAAGATGCTAAATGCTACCTCCATCCACACATGAAAGGCAAGCAGGATGATACTGGCAGGAATGGTGGACTAGGTGAGGTACTCTCTCCTCTGTATGTCTTGGCAGAATCTTCAATTGGAATTATTTCCAATCTTACATTTTGTGAAACCAAGAACCAGTTTTTCAGATAGATGATGTTTTCTTGCCTCTCTAAGCCAAAATTCTTAGTTAATCGGGAAAGCAATACATTAATGCATGGATCCTGCAACCCTTATAAGAAAATAAACCATAGAAGTAGCTCTTGCAATTCATTTATTGTCTGTTTATTATAATGTCTAAACTGAAGTTTTCCCCTTGTGGCTTATTCTATACTTTAACTTGTTAGAATTGGCTATCATAGTATTTGTTTCCATTTGTGAGAGGAACAAAAAGAAGTGATTAAAAAAGGAGCAGTACTCTACTTATTTCTAATTCAGACAAAATTATTTGAATTCTGACAAAGCAATATGCATTTAAGACTAGAGTTTTGTAAAACATTGTCCCAACATGGACTTTATGACCAGGAGACTATGCCTTCTGTGTTACAGTTAACTACATAAAGCACTAATTAAAAAGCAACGGGAGAATGAGAGTGAGATAGAGATTGAGGCTTGAGAAATCTAGATTTCTCTTGCAAGGGGTCTTGCTGAATATAATTCCAAATGCATGATTTAAGTAGAAGGTTGTTGAGGGTTTCCTTCACCACAGCCAAATACTGAGAGATGTTTGCTAGAGCTCTGGGATCCATTATCTAGAATGCCTTCATATGTCTCTTTAGTCCTTTCATCGGGGAAGGACTTAGTGTTTATAGAGGAATATGCCTGTCAAGGTTTTGAAAATATTACACGTTCCTTAAAGAATATTGACATTGGTTCTACTAGGCGGATCAGCCCCTTGCTCAGATTGCCAAGTGTCTTTTGTGAACCTAAAGTGTGATTCATCAAAGAAAGGCAAAGGACGTCGGGTTCGCAACTCTCCCAACAAAGAAGTGACTCGCATCACCCTGGAGTTTGAAGCTGAAATCAAACCTGAAGAGATCACAGGTAGAGTAAGTGACAGAAAAGACTGGGAAATGGGGTGTGGGAGTTGAAAATTCACTTGGCATCATCATCATCATCCTCCAATAATAGTGCATCTTTATCACTATTTTCTTTTTTTTTTAAGGGCAGGAATATGTTGTGAACAGGGACAGACCAGAAGCAGGAATCTTATCACAATTCTGCACAGACTATAACCCTTGTGATAAGTGGCATTTCATGACCAAGAATGAACTTTATTATATTATTAATATTAGTTCATTTTTGAAGAAAAAAATCTTTTCTTAGCAAACCTAAAATTATTTGCAGTCGCTATCGCTAATCATGTTGATAAAAGAACATGGAAAATGTGTTTATGTGTATGTGTGTGTGTCTAAACTGCTTCAGTCAAGGCAATGCTAAGCAATATACAAAAGCAACAGCCAATACAATAATACTAAACAAAACATAAATATTAATAGTACAGTATTGCATTATGATGTTAATATGTTATGCATTCTTTCTTCATAAACAGTAATCAACAAAATTTCAAAAGTCAAAACAGCCTGGAACAAAATAAACTAGACAAGAACTGCATAGTTTAGGAAATTATGTGTTTATATATGCATACACTTGTAATCTGGAAAAATACAAAATTTTAAACATTCATATTCAATATTATGGTCTAAAATCATATATGTGGGTGGAATTAATCAATTCAGAATTACTTAATTGATATTTGCAACTAAATGAGAGTAAAATAATGTTTGATGGAAGATATTTTTAAAAAAACTTTGCTGCTGTATTCATTTTCCACCAATGCTATTTCTCATATTTTTAAAAATCTATTGGTCTAAGAAAAATATTTTTTAAATTTCCTTTTTTTTGTAAACTATACTATAAGTTTGTATCATTTAGCCACTGCAAGCCAAATTAAAGAAAAAATATACCTAGCCTAGAATTAATCACAGCTTATTGTATAATTGTAAATTTCTAAAAAAATTAAATCAAAAGAATAATTAAATGAATATTGCCACCAAATATGGTAATGCATATCCATTTGATTACAACTTTCCAAAGCAATCTACAAAGCCTCTGAAAACTATTGTTCAGAGTTTTTCAACCTTGGTGCCTTCATCTCCCAGAAGCGCTCGCATCTTCAAGCTGCCAAGATTGAGAAAAACTGCTATAATTAAATATGAAAAGAATACAATAGCTTTATGAATTACTTTTATTGTAAAGTTCTTTTACAGACTTTTAAGAGAACATACTATGTTTGATAACAAATTAAGTTCCTTAATTTTGAATTAAACAAATTTACAACACTCTTGTGCATGTTTTCGATTTGTAAGATCTTAATGAGCTTTAAATGTCTTCCAACTTTTAAAACAAGAAGAACAGTGTGACAAAATGGCAAACCCCACAACGACTATCTTGAGTGGGTTCTGAGTTTCAGACAGCCCAGCCACAACCACCATGAGATATCCAGTGAGCATAATTGGATGTAAATATAGAAAAGACCAGTAAATTGATTCCACTATTTAGTTCAAACTGCTACAATGAAAGACAGAACCTCAATATCTTCTGAATGTTGTTAGATGGCTGTGTGCTGTTTGAAATCAACAGCAAACACCACTGAGCAGTATTGCAGGCTAATTCTGCTGACTGCAGCAGTTCGATTCTCACTGGCTCAAGGTTGACTCAACCTTCCATCCTTCCGAGGTCAATAAAACAAGGACCCAGATTGTTGGGGGCAATATGCTGACTCTGTAAACTGCTTAGAGAGGGCTGTAAGTACGGTACTAAGTACTAATACTAAGTACTATTGCTATTGCTATCAAATGCAAAATTTGACCTATTGCTTTACTGTAACCCTTTCCCTGACATGAGATTGCTATTGAATGAACTGATATGAGGAAAGAATACAAAATTGACATTTTGTATTCAACATGACTTTCCTCATTCCGGTGCTAAAAGATGACTTAATCTCCTTCATTTATCTTTAGCTAGCTGCAGCCTGAACTGTGTACGGCAGAAGATTGAGAAAAAGCTGAAGTTAGCTATCAAAGCCTTGAAGAAATCTATAAACCAGGAGCGATTTCTCATTCGTGTCTCAGGAATGGAATATGAGGTGGCCCGGAAGCTGAGCTTGTCTCCTGAGAGACAGGAGAGTTGTGGGCCAGGACAGCAGAGGCTGGCATCCAAGTGTGGTAAGAGAAAAAGAAAACAGCTAAGGCAGTGGGGAATGAGGAAGGAAAGAAGTGAAGAGCCACTTACACATTACTTACAAGCCTTTAGTGCAGTGGTTCTCAACCTGTGGGTCGGGACCCCATTTGGGGTCGATTGACCATTTCATGGGAGTCGCCAAGCAAGGCTGTCCGCCATTTTTTTTGTCCGCCATTTTTTTGTCCGCCATTTTTTTCCCCTTTTCCAGCGGGTGCCTTACCTCCCTTGGGCTGGGCCAGCTGGTGGTCGGCCTGCTCCATCTCTGCCGCTTGCCAGCTACGCCTCGGCCGGCGCAGGGGGCGGAACCATACATGCGTGGCGCTCCCGGGCAGGGAAAGTCCTCGACTTACGACCGGTTGGGTAGTCCTCGACTTACGACCGGTTTAGTCCTCGACTTACGACCGGTTTAGTTATCGACTTACGACCGGTTGGGGTCGCGGCATTAAAAAGGTTGAGAACCACTGCTTTAGCGCTACTGTTGCTTAAATATCTTCTTTCAGCTTTTAACATCTATGGCAATTGCTATTTCTTTTCTACGAGAGCTAGAGTTATTATGCTCATTCTTTTAAAAGCTTAAGCTTTATTATGGTGCACTAGGCACCAGGGAGGATAAAGTGCCTTCCCTTCAAAATAGAGAAGCGTTAACTTGAATATTGTCTTTTTACCTATATCACTAGTACATTTGCCTTTCTCTTAGTTAGCTGCCTTCCAGGAACATACTACCATGGCCAGATGGAGCAGTGTGTCCTTTGCCCTCCCGGGACCTATCAGGAGAAAGAAGGCCAGCTCTCCTGTGACCTTTGCCCTGGGAGTGATGCTTTTGGGCCTACTGGAGCAACAAATATAAGCGCTTGCGCAGGTACAGACATGAGCTGCAGGAATCCCTAAGATTAGAACTGAAGTTCAAGATCCTAATACATGGGAGAATTTGTATAACAGAAGTGCCAGGAAGAAGGGTTATTTGTGTTTCAAAAAAGATCCTAAGAGGCGTGGTGGCTCAGTGACTTAATGATGCTGGAGATAGTCTCTGCTCCAGCAATTCAAATCTTAACACTGTATGGCAGGGTATGCTCCTATCACTCGCCTCAGCTTCTGTCCACCTAACAGATAGTTAGATTCCTGCCAGCTCTGAACCTTCCCAGTTGTGTCACCCTTTTACGAGGTGATTCCAGGGAAGAGAGGGGGCCAAGGATGCTGCTGCAGGAAGAGCCACTTGTCTTTGCTCTGGTGCGAAGCCAGCTCACCCTCCTGTGGCACACTTTGGGAAGTGCAGAAGCATGTCCTAGAACAGGACTACTCT